GAGACCCCGCGCCGCAACGCCACGGCGGCGNGCTGCCCCCCCGAGNGCGCGGGATGGGCAGCCGTGCGCCGTGCGGCTCCCTCGGCGTCTGCGGAGCGCACGCCCGGCAACTGACACGCTTCCGCCGGAGCAAAAATATTTTCCGCACGGACGCAGAGAGACCTGGAGTGTTGTGGAGTGCCGCCCCTGCGTCCTGCCCGAGGAGGCATCTGCGTCGCGTGGCGCGCCCCGCAAACATATCTTCACGGCCGGTGGCCCCACGCTGCCCCGCGAAGGGCCCCTACCTTCTCTTCTGCGCGGCAGAAACCCGCCCGGGTCACTTCAGCTGCGCCCAACCGCGGCGCCCTATCAAACGAAGCTGCGGTGGGGGCAAAAGGGGGCGCAGAGGGGCCCATGCCGAAGATTCCTCGGCGAGAGGGCCGGTGTGTCCGCCACGCCCCGTCCCGTCACAGAGCGCGCTGTGGGCGGGTTTTGCGAAAAGGGCAGGCCCAAGCACAAAGCCACGACGTGGCTCCGCGACGGCCTGCGTGTGTGCGTGTGTGTATGCGTGTGTGGGAAACGCCGGGGCACGTGCTCTCCGGTGCGGCCTCTGCGGCCTGGTCGGTCCTCCCAAACTCCGATCCGCTCTCGGCCCGCAACGGCGTGGGCGATGACGCTGGTACGTCGGGGGGGAAGGGGTGCCCTTAGTTCGCCTTTTTGTATTGCTGCGCCCTCGCACACTTCCAGTCGCCCACGGTGGCGTGTGCCACAGGAACCGCACATCGTCATTTCTCCGCTTCGGCCGCTCTTCGGAGCGGCAAAACGGATCCGGCGGGAGCGGCCGGAATTCAACTTCTTCTGCATCCTCGCGTGGTGGGGGAACCCCCCACTGCCGAGCTCACCTCGGAAGGGTGATGGCGCGGCACTTGCGGAGGCAGAATGGTTAGGATGAAAAGAGGTAAGAAGAAAGAAATGGTGCTTGGGACATGTAAGAGCGCAGCGCGGTTCGATTCACCCTGCACTCTGCCATCGCAATGCTTCTGAGCTTCATAGTGCACGTCTTGACAGGCGTTTTCGGCTACCTCGACCTCGGCAGCCGTGCAACCGTCTCCGCTCTGCTGCTGTACGACCCAGTGAAGGAGCCGGCGGCGATGGTGGCGTACGTTGGCGTGCTGGTGGAGCTGTGCGCCTCCTGCCCGCTTTCTTGTTCTCATCCCCCGCAACTCCCTCAACCACAGCTTCGGGTGGGACCCCGACAGGCTGCCGTTTTGGAGGCACTGCATCTTCGTCGTTGGCCTCGCGGCTACCTCGCTGCTCTGCGGCCTCTTCACCCCAAAGGTCAACACGGTGTTTGGCCTCGTTGGTGCGCTGGACGGCGCTGTGCGTGGGAGGGCGGCCTTCTTGCTTTGCCCCTCCGGCAACGGGGCGGGAGACGGAAGCGGGGCGCAGGCGCCGTGGGCACGAGCAAAAGGGCACACGCGAGTGCGGATGCCGCCCCCCACCTTGCCACTCTCAAACTTTGGGGCAGCAATAGCAGCCGTCCTTCCTCCGGTTTTCTTTTTGAATTATCGAACCTTGTGCCGCGTGGGAAGCGCCCCTCCACCAGCGCTGTTGACATGACTGGGCCTGCGAAGCGCGTAAACTAGACCCGACTTTTTTGTTTTTTTTGGCCGCACACGCGTCACTGCTGCGGTCAGCGACGGCGGCCAACGGATGCCGCTCACTTGCTGCCGGGCGGCGCGCGAAAGAGGTGCAACAGCGGCGAGGTGGCTGTTGTGTGTGGGGCGCGCGCGGAGGGACGCGAAAAGACCGCCAAGGCGGCTCTGCGTGCCAGCGGTACTCTGGGTGGCAGTGTCGGGTTTTTTTTGGGTTCCTTGTACTGTTTGTGGTGTTGTCGTTTACCTTTTCCGCTTACCGGCGGTCTGTGCCCAGCAGCGTGCCCGAAGGAGGGCGCCGGGCAAACTGGGTTTGCGTGCCGATTGTTTTTTTTTCCTCCGTTTTGTGTTTGGCGCGTTGCTCCTCCCTCGGGCGGCGTAAAGCGCCTCAGTCGGGGTTGAACGGGGCGGGGAGACGGTGGGGAAGCACAGCCGGGGCCAACGAGGCGGTACGTGGGGCACGCCCTTGTCTTTGCTGTGGGTTGCGGGGGCCGTCCGCGCTATCCCCGGGCTTATACCCAGATGCATATATATATATATATAATTATGGCCTGCGGTGGATCTTGCCGACGGCAACCGCGGTGTCTGTGCCTGCGAGTTTTTTGTTTTGTTTTTATCCTTCAATTATGGTTATAATGTTTTCTTAGTGTCTTCGAACGTCAGTTGACAGTAAAAAAGTGAAGGCAGCGTCGATGTCGCAACCACGTGAGCTCGACCAGTACGCTTGGGATACTGCCGGGCAGCCCCCAACGGGGGCAATGGCGAACCTCGTTTCTCCAG